TATTTATATGTATATATATATATATATATATATATATTGTACTCCCTCCATTTCATATTGTTTGGTGTTTGACCCTTACTGGGGTGACATAATTCTTCAGAAAGCTTTAATAATTATAACATATATTGAGGAAATGTACGCTTATAGAAAAATAATATTTTACTCCCTTCATTTCATATTACTTAACTTTTATTGACGTGACATTATTCTTAAATAAAATTTAATTTGAAATGTACTTTAAATTGAATGATCAAATAATATGAAATATTGGAAGTATTTGGAATCTATGATCACATAGGTCTTAGCTAGGTATATATAGACGGAACATTAGTAGATGTGTCACATATTATACATTAAAGTTTTCGATTCACCTAATTGGCTTCTTTTTGTGTAGCGATAGTCTAACTAGTTTATATATAATGCTTACCAAATTAAAATAACAATTACTTATCCGATCGAAAATTAGATTAAATTTTTTGACATGCGAGAGGATTCAATGGAGAGAATTTCTACATCTCTAATACTACAAAAATATCATGACGTGATTGTAAAAATAATATTCATAACGATTTCTGATCTTCTCAAATAACCTTCTCGTCACTTCTAACAAATTAAAGCTACTTCGGATTTATGGAAGAAAGGATTATAGCTAAGTTACGTTCCTATATGTACATAATGGAAATTATTGCAATTGAGCAACCAATTTTTAAATCATATTAAAATTCAAACTTATGCCATTAGAATCAAATTCTCAACTTTTTCTTTGAACATAAATCCCCAATGGATAGTTACATCATACATTATCCATAACTTGTATGGTGGATACGAAAGAAAGCCACGATAGTGCAAAGTACATCGATCCAATTGCTTGAGGCAGATTTAGAGTGCACCGATCGATAAATTCATCAGTTTTGACTCAAATTCAGAACATGCATATTTAAAAACTTCACCAAATAAATAGGATCAACAAATTTCAAACTTAGTGAATCCGACGAATATTACAATAAAAAATTGAAACTTTTATTTATAAAATTTATATTTTGAATCCGTTTCAAAAAGAAAAACGGGCTGAATTGTCTCTGTGCAGTGTCCCGACCGTACACGTGAAGTTGGCTTTTACTGAATTGTTGTTTTGTTGTCATGAAGCAGACCAGTTTGAACAGCACTCTACTTCCTTTTCAATCTCAGCTTTTTGTTTTTGTCTTTCTTTTTTTTCACATATACCTTAGCTTCTTTCTTGGGTTGTGTGAATCTACACGTTCCCTTCACTACTCTGCCACACACATACGCACACGCTTGCTCCTTTAGTTTTTTTCTTTCCCAAAAAAAAACAATTATTACATGCGTCAATATCTAAAATAAGTTGGAATCGATTATATAAAAATTATACTAATAAAAGTTTTGATATGAGATTTAAAACCTATGCACAACTTGTAACTTACACTTACATGGATTCTTTTGGTTCATTGTATCTTATATTTAGTTAAGTATGTCAAGATCTTTTAAAATCACTTTCTTTCATGTAATTTTTAGTTTTAACCTTGTTCTTTTGTAACGCTTTTACTTATCATAGTTTGCTCCACGTTAAACATGTTTAAATCATTTCAAATAACCTTCTCGTATTTTATATCTTCAACGCGTGCTAATTATGACTATTGAGAAATGTGTCTATTTCTAATTTTATCTAATTTGAGATGACCGCGCACTTATATTAGCATCGCATCTACGGAACACTCGTATGGATCACGGCTCGTCAATTATTACTACTATTAGAACAAAGCATAGAAGAGATGGAAGGGTTAATATTTTATAGTGGATGGATTATAATGGCCCTTTATCGTTGAACGCAACCAAACGGCAACGAGATTTTGTGTTGATATATTTATGTAAAGAGTTTGCAAAGTCCAAAAAATATCCTAGTTTTGAGTAGCTTATCTCGAAAAATAAACTAGACATTCGAAAAGTCACATGTCTATAGATTGGTGATCATCACATGATGAGGGACCAGAATGCTCAATCAAGAAGTGTCAACAATTACCAATGAGTGATCGAAATAAGATCTTTATGGTCGTGAATATACATTTATCGTGACGAGAAAGTACTCTTAGTTTAGCTAAGTAATTTAAAATTTAATAACATATTTAAATTTCGTGTATCTTTTTGTATTGTTAAATCAAATCAAATTGAGATGATTCATTTAGATTTTAGCTATTTTACACAATAATTGAAATATGACGTGTGAATAAAATCATAATAAAGTTAGTGTGTTTGATGTTTTATCATTTAACTAATGTCATTTAGTATATAATAATATAACGACGGAACTGATGAATCAAATTGATTATAGATATAATATTCTCTGTTATATGAATTGTCCTAGGTTATTTCAATCAGATGGAACTTGTCATTCTTGACCTTCACGGCCCAAATTGAATTGTCCAACTCAGAACTATCACAATCCAAATTGAATTATGTACTAAAGTCCACTAAGAAAATTCCATTTCCTACTCTAATCATTAGCTCAAATATTTTAGATCCAACTAGAATTGGACCTGTTACAGGCAATGTATGGTTCACACTCTAAATTATTAGCTCGCAAAATCACAAAATATAACAAGATGTTTCTTATACGCCACTCAATAGAATAAAAGGGGATCTCGAAAAGAAAATGTTACTCGTTAAAATATAATTAACACTACTCCCATAAGGAACAAAAGAGTATCAATTGTGATACTGGTATGATAAGATAGAGAAATCACACTCGAGACTTGGATTTAAATCCAAACTTTAGCCTTTTTTTTAGCTTGTATTTGAGCTAAAGTAATGTTGATGTATTCGAAATCTTCAAATTTTAAGTTCCCATCTGATCTAAGATGCTCTTAGTTAAAGCTTAAGCTATTAAAGAAATTATAATTTTATTAATTAATTATATTCTCAATACTCCATGTTGTGGCATTTGCATTAGCGAATTCATGAATCCTCTAATACTCAATTAGATCAGTTGATTTATGCAAATAAAGTTTATGTACATATATTATATAAAGTACTCTTTCTAATGAATTATTCGATGTGTATTGTTTATATTTTTATCAAGTAGCAAGGAAAACTTGGGACTCGTTGATTGTAAGAATAGAATTGTGTAACTTGTCACTCTTTACTTTTATGGCCCAAGCTGAATTGTCCAACTTAGAACTAAATCCAAATACAATTGTGTGGAAGTCCAATATAACTCCATGTTAAATTTTTAGCTCCAATATTTTTTTTGTGGTTTTAAATATATATAATAAAATAATTAGATTATAATAAATATATCCATATTTTATTTGTTGAAATGTATAATGAACGCATTTAAAAGTTTAACTTGTAAGATAGAACATATTTTTCATATTTAATTATATTTTTAACCCCCCTTTATTGGGTCAAATCAAGCAAGTAATTTTTTTTTTGATATAGGTGACACCAAATTCTATCTCAAGATTTCTGTCTACTCTGATATTATGTTGAAGTGTGTAACTATACACTTAAGCTTGCCAAAAGTTAATGAAAGCATACACATACGTGAAATATACATTGATTATTCAATCTCAATTAACAGTCCCATGAAATCTTTTCAATGATTCAAGGCCTTTGATATTTAATTTACTCGAAACAATTCACTTTTATGGTATGTCAAATTTTAACAAAGCAAAAGAAAAAAAAAGTGTGGAAGACAAAAGAGGAGAAAGAAGGAAAAGAATTCGTTAATGGCAAAACGCAATGGAAGAGGAAAAAAGTTAGAAGTCATTAATGGTGAGCTGGGTAGAAAGAAGGAGGTTTTGGTTGATTTTAGTAATTTTGAAAATTTTCCCTATTTTATGGCAAGCTGCAGTAACTGTATAGAGTCAATAATTAAAACTTTGTGCATAATTAACCAGTAAAATCACAAAATATCCTAAAATATTTCCACTACTCATGTTTACTTGGTATCAAATTAGGGCCCATCTCAATTATTCGCCCACCCTCCCATATTGAATTGTCTGCACACACTTAACGTGAAGTAGATTATTGAAGAGTTTTTAAAGTAAAAATCGTGAGACATAAATTTTGCTTGAATTGTTCTCATCTAACAGATTGTCACAACTATTTCCAAATTAGACATAACATAGACGGCGTAGTACATATATTGGACTTTAAATTGGGATTCAAATTTTAATTTTGATCTCAAACTTTCATAGTGCACAAATAGGCACTTTAACTATCCTATCTTTCAATAAATAAATATGCTAATTTCGGAGTCAAAGTGCGTGAAATGCAAATACTCCCACGTGTATTAGTGAGTTAATCAATGACTGTCAACTAACTAAACATTTTACATGTCTTTTTTTTAAAAAAATACCTTACCTGTCATTTTGAAACTAAAAAAAAAAGTTAAAATTAATTTTAATTAATATAAAAGAGATTCATTAAGAGTAGAATTGTCATTTCAACATTTTTTAATATTTGTGGGCCTTGAAAATTACCCCTCACTCGCGCAGAATACGTACATTTCACGAATTTTGTAAAAGTAAAAATCGCATGTTTATTTATTGAAAGATGGGATATTTAAAGTGTCTATTTGTGCACTATGAAAGTTTGATGTCAAAATTGAAATTTGAAATCAAATTTAGAATTCAATATATGTATTAAGCACTATGAAAGTTTGATGTCAAAATTGAAATTTGAAATCACATTTAGAGTTCAATATATGTATTAAGACTAATATAGACAGATACATATGGTTGTAAATCACATTTAACCTAATAACAGTTGATAAAATTGCAACTCAGTGAAGAGTTTTCTCATTTAAACAAACAGACATTCATATTTATTATTTGATAAGCCAAACTGAAAACACATAAACATACTCAAAAGCTTCAATACAAACAACTTAAAACCACAAATTCCAACATCAGTCTTAATAATATTATCAGTTACAACCAGAGGCACAGCATGACGTTTCAGTTGCTTTTGTTATGCATTTAACATTCCCAGTTTCATCCACAAAGCAAATGCAACCTTCTCCGCATTCAGCTATAACTTCCCCTGCTTTGCTTATTTTACAAGTATATCCTGCATCTGTCTTGCACATCACCTTGCAACCATCTGATCCCTCTAGTGCTTTTTGTGCCTCTGGATCAGATTCTTCCCTATTTTTAACAAATTACAAATATGTATATGGTTTAAATTGACATACACAATAACATAAATTTATGGAATTATTATTATTAGAGTACATACAGGCGGGTACAATTGATGCCGCTGGAACATTGGCAAAAGGGTTTGCCAGCCTTGGAACTCTCTGTTTTGGTAACAGAACAAGACCATCCTTCTGCACACTTGCACTCCACTTTCCCATCTTCCAACTTTTCACAACATCTACATAGGTTCAGATAATCAACGAACTGAGCCGCTAAGACGTAGTTCAGATAAATATAAATATCACTTGGTAATTAGAATCTATTTGCTAACCTGAGTGATTGCTGGCTTGAGCTAAGAGCCTCCATTCTTTGTTGTAAATTAATTATTTTTGGTTCTAGCTAATTATCATGAAATTTGTTTACTACAAGTCGGGTGACTCATATACATCTGATTAGCAGCTTTATAGATGTGGCTACTGATTATTTCTTTACATTAAGATATTTGAAATTATTTGTCATTTTCTATCGTCTAGAATACTTTTAGCTATCGTGATTCACGAAGTCACTAGAATATACTTTATCTTATATTACGTGTATAAAAAATAATAGTCTAAATTCTAACGTGTCACAATTATAAATGCGTATCTCCGTGTTCCTTTCAATAACAAGTATTTGCGACAAAATTTCATTACAAATTTTTAAATTATATAATTTTGCAAAAGATCCATTACTAAATAATATTGTCTTCATTCCTTTAATGTGACATATGACTACTTTTTGAAGAACATTTAATAAATATTTTAAAATTTTCATTATTTTTTAAATTTCGTCTCCGATCAAATATTATCACTTAAAATGAGACAGAAAAAAATACTCGTAAGCGTGCCTCCTTTGTTGCAAAACTAAAATAATTTTTTTTTCCTTTTATAAAATAAAAACTTTATATATATATCGTAATTTGAAATTATTCAAATTTTAAATTACTGGTGCACAACAAAGTTCTTTCGTGTGATAACTGCGTAAAAATCTGAAAAGCTGTTGGATACAAGGCCAGCTGTTAATATTTTTCCCATACTAGTACTATTAATTAATACATTCAGAAAATTAATTAATAATTTTTCTAGGATGGTGTAGCCTACCTGTTGATTGAGAAAAGGATATCCATCAAACAATTAACAATAGAAATCACTTTTAGCTGGTAAGAGAGCTATGTATTAATAGTTGATCAAGTCGAACACTGTTAAAAATTATATTACAATTATTTTAAAAAAGTAAAGATTATTATTATTATTAATCTTGAGCTCGGTCCCTTTTCCTCCTACTATTTAAGCAACGGCGGAAAAATATCAGTTATACATTTGAGTGATTATAAATTATTTTATTAATATTTTTTCATCTTATTTTATATATTACTTTTTTATTTTGTATTTGCATTAAATAATAATGAGATTTTATTCTTTTATTCTTATTAAATATTTTCTTAAGTCAACTTTATAATAAGTAATGACTTATGAGCATATTTTAAAGCTATAATAAGAAAATGTGATAATTTATATATAAATTTTATAAAATAACAAATATTATATCTAATTACTTATAAAATGAAACAAAAAAAATTAAAATTTATTGACTATTTATAATCAACTAATCCAAATCTGCTCAAATTTGCTTTTTGGTTGTTTTCACTTTTCACCATTCAATTTACAAATAGAGCCCCATCTTGTGATTATTCTAATTCTTTATCTTGTCTTTTATCAATTATTATGACTACTTTTGTGGGAAAAAGAAGCCACTATATATGGTCAATAATTTCAGGAATTTCTTTGACACCAAAAGTGCTCTTTATCTAAACCTTTATTATTATTGATAAATTGTCTACTTAAAGAAAATGAAACGATTACGAGATAAGGGTCATTATTAAATTTGAAACATTAAAGTCTAATACAAATTTCTACGGTTTTCAATAAATGTAGCCATTAGAATTTGTTAAGTATTTGACCAACATTGAAAGTACTTATTTTTGATAGACTTAAATGACCAAAATTGCTGAAAAATAGATTTAAGAAACCATTTTTATTATTTTATTCTAAGCTTTATATATACAGCGTCTTCTTTTTTTTTCTTTTAATAATATACCATATATATGCATCTGCTGACTTAATTTCCTATTTTATTTTTATCTATATCTCCCTTCTTTAGAAATGGGACTTGGTATGTACAAACGTGGCAATAACATGTTGTACAATTAGCTATGTGAAGTGTCTACAAACTTGGCTTTATTTTATTGGACGTTATTTTTTTGTTATTTTCCTCTTGACACGCATATTTACACTCAAAACAACTCACCAGCTAACATGGCAAACCAGAAACGGAGGAAGCCGCCGTTGCATATAAGATGACCGAGATACGAAATAGGGAACTCGCTCGCTTCGGAATCCTTCCCTTCTTTAAAAATGGGACTTGATATGTACGAACATGGCAATAACATGTTGTACAATTAGCTATGTGAATTGTCTATAAACTTGGCTTTATTTTATTGGACGTCATTTTTTTGATATTTTCCTCTTGACACGCGTATTTGCACTCAAAACAACTCACCAGCTAACATGGATCTTTGAAGTTCACTTACTTTTTCACTGACTCTTCCAAATTAAAGTTTGTTAATTGTATTTGCTGGTAAGTGTTTCTCACTTTTTTCTTCCTTAATTTTTTGCTTCAATTTTTATCTTGTGCAATTAGTCAATTTTTTAGAGAATATAATGAGATGAATATTTGCTGGTAAGTGTTGACGTCTTTTTTCTTTGTGCATCGTCTTTTCACTTCCGTTAAAATAGATTGAAGAAAGTGACCTGTTTGAGTTCCATTTTCCATGCTATTGATGATTAACAGGAAGTTCAGGTGGACACTAATGTTAACCACTTGCAAATATTGCTAGCTTTTATGGTAGACTACTTTATTTCAAATTTGTTGTCATGTTGTTTCATACATTCTAAAGGAAATAAGATTAGTTACTGAGAAATTATGAATGTGTGTGTAGTGTAAGTTTAATTCTAGCGCTAGGAATTTGCAAGCACAACATATGACTTCTCAGTTAAACAGAAAAACAATGTGTAAATAGATTTACATTGTTGTGTGAAGTCACAAACTTCGAAATACATTAACCAAAGAGCAAAGGGAAGGTAGAGTTTTATAGTATCACAAATACACACCAAAGATAAGGATTTCCCTCATTATAATTTATATGAATGTCATCAACATTGCTCATATTAAAATGTCAAAAGTCCAAGTCTAAATTTCATCACCAGCTTCTGTAAGACATACTTTGAGCTGATAATTCGAGAGTATGGTTATTAATTCATGGTGTATAGATTAATTTTACTTTACAAGGTCTTGCAGCTTGAATTAGGTTTTTTGAATTTACTTATGAAAGACGTATGAGTTTTAACTTTAAGTACTATAGATTTGACTGAATGATATTTTCATATTTTTAGTTATATTTTTTATTCTGTTATTTTACTTGTGAGTTACATTTTTCGGGGCTATTTGAGTGACCCATAATTTTGTGGTCGAATGCCACTTAACCATAAGGAGAGAGACATCAACCACTTGACTCTAATGAGATGAATTTCACAGAAAAAGTAGTTCAAAAGAAGCCACAAATTTAAATAGAAAGAATAGTCAATGTCAATTAGAGACAACTTTGTTGAACTCTTCCTTTCGAAACTTACCATCATATATGAATTATGTTAGTATGAATCTATGTATCTGTCAATCTTCTAATGGAGGCATATAGTATCTCTCATATAATTTGTTAATAACTTTTGAAACTATCGAGATTGTTTTTTGAAAATGGATTATTGTAAGTTTTCTTAAATAATCTATAATAGTTCTGCTCAAGAGGAGGAAAGCCAGAATATTTTACATTATAATTGACTCTGACAAATCTTAGGTTGTGGTGATCTCATTTTGTGGATGCGAGACATTAGTTGTATTGTTGTGAGCGGGTATATAAAGATCGTCTTCTTTTGAAAATTTTTGTAGATCTCATTATTTTTCTTGCTTTCCATATTAATGATGAATAGCAGAAAGGAAAAGAAAATTAGAAACAGGATAATCTTGCAAGAAATACCAGTGAGTTATGGTTCTATATAGAGACCCGAATACATAGCTACTTGCGTACCTTAAAGAAAAAAAATGTATCGATATTAGATGGTTCAGTTCTTGAATCTATCACTTTTTAACTTGCGTATATTTTTATTATTTGCAACCACCTCCTTTTTTATCTGGCAATTTAGTTTCTCTGCAATATCAACACCTACTATATTTTAGTAAATATTTCAAGTCTTTTCTTATACATTATCTTTTTCTTCATTTGCCTTTTCAATTTATTTTAGTGCCTAATGATGATACAGGTAAACCGTGCAAGCTGACTTTCCTTCTTGGATTATAAGGTTTGAATAACCCACGTTGTGAGAGAAGTTGAAAAACATGTATCAAGTAAATTCACCCTTTATTTATAACATTTCAGTTCTGTATTCACACTTTCGACATACATTTATCATTTAGACTCGGGGTTGCTAGAGTTTTCCTACTACCTTTCACTCCATATGACAGCCTATTTTCAACTGGCTGGATGAATCAGCCCAAGCCCAACAAGGATATCTACAATAGATATTGGGCCAGTAGGCCCAATAAGAGCAATAAGGTCAACCCTTCCTAAAGGATAATTTTGGATCGGTGCCATTTTTCATCGTTACATATAAAAAGACATCACGATTAAAGGTTATCATGAATTATATGCAAAGGCATTTATGTGTTTTTCATCCCCATTGAGTATAAGTTTCTCATTTCCCTTCTACAGTCTATCAATCACTAGTTCTTTCTTACGTCTACAATTTTGTTTGGGCTTTTGTTATTTGAGTTGTTGTTTTAGTTTCTGGATTTGTAATTAAACTCTAATCTTATTATTATAGTTGAACGGTTGGTTACCGTTACATTAGATTTGAGTTCATTACACTTAACCTTATCGAAGCCCAAAATACATTGATATCCTATATGATGTCTTGAATATTACTTGTGTATATACTGTCCAAAAGGCTGCAAGCCCAAAATAATTAAAATGACAAAAAGGCAGTTTGAGGTCTAAAATAGATATCTCTATCAAAAAAATAGTTTAAAAACTTACAACTAACTAATGTTTTCTGTTTATATGACTAAAATATGAGATGAAGCTCAAGATATTAATTATACAATTATCAGTAGAGAAGAATATATATATATATATATATATAATAGTACCTAAATTTTTAACTACAAAATAATCTTTAAACCCTTTAGAAAATGGGAAAGTTACACATTAGACCCTTTGCAAAAATAGTTACTCATATCATCTAGCCAAATATAAATTGATTGTGCGTTTTTTTATTATTATATATTATACTTATAATATGCATATGTTTATTATTATTTTAGGTGACAACAATACAATATAAAATCGTTTTATAAAAAAGGATCTCTACACTAACAATATAATCAGTGTCCCATTTTTAAAAATGACCATAATTTTATCTTTTACAAAATTTATCTAGTAAAAACATGAAGTAATTAGTCTATAATTAGTCTGCGTATCGTAAACATTAGAACTTACTATATATACAAATTACATATTAAAATATTATTTGGTATAATGGTGGGATATTCATATTTGATGAAATGGTATAAGGGGTTTTTAGCTGTGCGCATTTAAAAGGATAGTGACTACGAATTTCTCATATTATCAAAAGAAAAATATAATTTATAACATGAGATATTTTATGAAATTAAATGACCTCGGAATATAGTACTCTTGCACCGTCTATGAGGATTTTGCCATGTCATGATCTGATTTAAACATCAAATCTAAACTTTAGTTTGCATAACCTCAAAGCTAGGTGAATTCTACATCTTCTTTTTTCGGGATCAGTATTATATACTTAATTTTCATCGTTTGGTTCCATATAAAGTCAATATTGGTATACTGAGTATACAAATAAAAGATAATGCTTCTAAAATGAGTGTAATATCCACTTCAACCATTTGAAAACAAAACAAAACAACCAAACAAACAAAAAAAGCAATCATGACTTAGAAGAACTAAATCATCGCCACCAAAGTATATGAAGACGGCAGGTTACTCTACACTTTTAATTCGTGAAACACAGGAGAAAATTATTTTTCTTGAAAAATATTACAAATAAAGATTTTCTTAAAAAATAAGTGATTTTAAATTTTTTTAGAATTTTATTTGTTCATTCCTTTCATCATTATCCAAATATTTTAAATGGACTTCGATATGTTCACCCTCACAATTTTCACCCGATTCCCCGAGGGGCCACATTGCGCCTAATCGATTCGATCCGTTTGTCAAATAATTAGATATTAAGCGTAACGAATATTCTGAAAGCTAGTTTTAAAAGAAGAAGATTATCCAAACCTTATGAGGAATACATGATTCTTGTCCTTTACCAGTGTACTGAAATTCATTTCATTCATCGTATTAACGTCGATCCAACAAAATTAGAACAATACATAAAGAGAATGACAAGCACAAATCGAACTTTTCATATTCATAAAATAATCAAATGAAGTCTTCTACGTTATAATAAAAAAATAGAGAGGAAATGACATTGTTATTGATGTCTCTTTGGATCTAAGAATTAGGTGAAGATGGACATGAGAAATGATGAAGTCGAGACAAAAATGTTTGGGCCTTTTTGACATAGCAAATTGGAATTCAAATTTAAAATTTGTATTTGTTGTTTACATGTTTGAACAATTTAACTTCAATTTGAAATCAAATAATATTTCAAGAATTCATTTAAAAGGTAGAATTTAAATTCCAAGTATGTAATCTTCATTTTTTTAAAATTAAAACTTGGTCCATGAATCTATATTTTGTATAAAAAAAAATATCATGTTCAACGTGAAGAAAATATTGTACTTTGTAGAAAAAATCTCATATTCACACTATTGTTGCTCTATTGGAAAATGTATCATTAAAAAATTATGTATATTTAAAAATTTGGCATGTTATCATAAGAATTTATCCATACAACACATATGAAGATATATGACTTATTAATTTTACTGATACACATTTCGATAATTATAAAATGTATGAATTAAGAAGTTTTAATAGTTGTCACTAATTATAAAATTTTCATATTTATAAGAAAAATAAATTTAAAAACTTTTAAATTCAGATAATATATCTAAACATGATTTCAACTTTAAATTAGTATCATAGTAAAGCGTGAGTTTTATAAAGGGAAAAAAAGATCCACTAAAACATATCAAAGTGAAATGGGTGGAGGGATCCCACTTAAGGGAAGAGAAGGTGGTATGGCATGTGAAGCTCTAGAAGGTAAGGACCATTTCTTTAGGTTTTTTGATAATGTTTATGTAGGATATAACTAATTATAAGTATCCTAATCTAGATATAAATATGATCTCATTTTGATGTCATACAAATGAAAAAGGAAATTCTAATATTGCCCCTAAAATATAACAACATTTCAATTCAATGAAGTTGAGGGATTAAAAGGACCACATGGTATCAAATATTGTTCACACTAAGTGATTCTCTTGTTTGTATAATAAAAGGTATATAAAGTTATAATATGCATGATGAGTGTTGAAATTAGTCATTGTTTGTTGACATGCACATTCTATGTCCGGTAGCTACATAGAGTTTACCCCAATTTAAAGTGGATGAGTTTGAAATATTAACCATTTTGAATTAGTAGATTTTAAGTTATTAGAAAGGCCAAATTCATTGGTAGCACCTTGTAAACTTAACATTAATGTTTACTTAGATATTTTAACTAGATTTAGACACCTAATGTCAGATTTCAGTATGTTATTTTGACACTTTTTTACACCATCAATAAAAATATATAATGTAAATATGTTATACTTATTAATAACGTGTAAAATATCAAACTAAATGATAACACTTATCATTTTGTGTCCAAAATAATACTAAAATAATCAATTTTGAGAAAATAAAAAAGTAGCCAATAAATTGGTGATACATGACATTTTGCCCACATAATAAAAAGAAAAAGATTTAACTGATTGGGTTTTTTTTTCAGCCTTCTTATTGTCTTCTTTAAATATCCATTTTGTAGAAACACCACCTGCCCCTTGGTCTACTTGTACATAAACAGTCCGCTATTTATAATATCTGTAAGAAATTGGAAATTAACTAGGGAAAAAAAATCACATCAATAACAAAGCAGTTAAATTAAATTAAAATCATCAAAATTAACTGAAAAAAAATATTAACAGAAAAATAAACTCTGAAGGCCAATGAAGGAACAGGCGTGAAAAAAACTCAAATCTCACTCCTATATGCAAACATTAAATTCCTCCAAGAAAGAATCACCATGGATGAAGTTAAGCATGGAGAAATGGTGGTTGAAAATGTTGAAAAAATTAATAATTAAAAATTGATTTAATATGCTTTTCAAGCGCAACTAGCGAGTGTATTACACTTTCTATGCCATGTAAGTTAAAAGTGTCAAAATGACACAACAGTGCTGTTATTCTATTTTAGAAACTGAGGTTCTAAATGATTTATGGCAGTTCAATATTTGTATATATTTTGCCTTAGCCCCAATGCAAACTAGCCACCTTTTAAAAGCTTCTATCTGATAGGAGGGTTCGATTTACTTTATAATTGATGTTGCTAAAAAGACTGATTCAACGAGATATGCTTGCATGTTGAGAGTGAGCTCCCTCTCTCTCAGCTAAGGAAAGAGGTCGAGAATTCTTGTTATTTCCAAATTATTTCAAGTCTTTGTTCATACTTGGCTTTATAAGATACTTAAAAGAATAGATTGTGAGTCTAACTCCGCTCTAAAAGTTAGTTTACTCGAAAAAATTTGTCCAAAATTATATAAAAAGATTTATCTGGCGTAGGACTCTTTAACAACGATAAATTTACATGTAAACCCTGATTAGGTTGAACAGTACAATGATTAACTGTCATACGACCAATCATTTCGGATAACTCTTACATCTACTGCACTATTTTGCACAGAGTTAATCGATACTTATTTCTCAAATATAATATATGCTTCTTCTCGTATTATTAGTACGATTAGTTTTTTTTCTTTGGTTTTCTGCACTAATTGGTGATCATTTTCTACATAATGAGCGCATCGAAAATAAATAATTATAATTACCCTGCATGCATGTGGAATTAATTAATTGAATTGATATGTATTAGTATTATTTATTAAATATGATTGTGGATACCATCTAAAATGCACAAATTTGTTCTAGTGGATGTAATGTAATCGTAATCATTCCAATATCTCATATTTTATTTTCAATGATACTAATTTTCTCTCAACTATGTGCTAATCCTTGTAATCAAATCAATCGAGATTTATTGTTTAATCTCAAACAGGACAAACCTCATAATTTAATCCCTTATGTTGAGATTTACAGATCTGTGTTAGCAAAACCTGAATTAAGCTAATATACCAGATTTTAAAAAAAATCTAGTTGATCAATTAATGCTTAATTACTTTCACATTAGCATGTAGAATTCAACCATGCTAAAAAAAATTCAAAAAATTAACAATAAGTTTACAATAGCACACACACCAGGTAAAACCTTGAAACTAATACTCCTTGTGTTTCAAAAATAATGTCTTTATTTCTTTTTTAGTATGTCTCAAAAAGATGATCCCTTTTCTTTTTTGGCAATAATTTAACTTTAACTTTCCACGTGTCATGTTTAAGACCACAAGATTAAAGGGCACTTTGATACATTTGACATAACTTTAATTTAGAATCACAAAATTAAAAAATCTTCTTTCTTTTCTAAACTCAATTTCAAGTCAAACTAGATCATCCTTTTTTAAACGGAGAGAGTAACTTAATTAGGTTAATAACCCAAGAAGTGTAGTGTAGCTTAGTGTTTTTTTCCTTGGTTTCTGCAATAGCACACACTATTTGTACCCGCGTTAAAAAAAAATGAAAAAAATGATATATGAAATAATTAAATAACTTATTTTGAACACCCTTAATATAATAAGTTGCTATTTTTGGACACCCTTTAAAAAATTTCTCGCTCCAACCACTGTATATGTAGGGCCGTCATATGTTACATTTGATATGGAATATGGGAGACAGTAGAAGCACACTAGCCAGGAATTGAGAATTGAAATGAAATGAAAGTAACCAAACAAGTGATATAGTGTTAGTGAATTATATCACTCTTTTATTTAAAGCGCTTTTTGCTTAAACGCGCTTTTCTTATCCTTGCAAAAAAAACTATAAATAACCTTCCTTTCATGCATTCTATAAGTTGTGAAATATATTCAATTGTTATTCCAATGGCGAAGAGTAGTAGGTCTTTTAATATAGTTTTCTTTGTTTTGTTGAGTATAGGAATATGCTCAGCTGCAAGAACCCTAATTGGTCTTGATGTTGGTGTTGGGGCAAAGGTTGGTGTCTATGCCGGTGGCGGTGGAGGAGGTTCTGGTGGAGGTGGAGGTGGAGCTGTAGCTGGTGAACATGGTGGTTATGCTGGTGGAAGTGGTAGCGGTGAAGGTGGTGGAAGCGGATATGGTGCTGGAGGGGCACCAGGAGGTGGTTATGCAAGTGGAGGTGGTGGAGGTAGCGGTGGCGGTAGCGGTGGAGCTGCTGCTGGTGGAGAACATGGTGCAGGTGAAGGAGGTGGAAGTGGTGGTGGATACGGTGCTGGTGGGGCGCCAAGTGGTGGATATGGTGGTGGAGGTGGTCATGGTGGGGGTGGTGGAGGTGGTTCAGCATCGGGAGGAGCATCAGGTGGTGGATATGGAGGTGGTGAAGGTGCCGGTGGTGGTGCAGGCGGAGCACATGGAGGTGCAGGAGGATATGGCGGTGGTGGTGGCAGTGGAGGTGGAGCCGGTGGTGGTGGAGCAACTGCTGGTGGAGCACATGGTTCAGGTGAAGGAGGTGGAAGCGGTGGTGGATACGGTGCTGGTGGAGCACAAAGCGGTGGAGGTGGCCACGGAGGTGGCGGTGGAGGTGGTTCAGCATCATCAGGAGGAGCTGGTGGAGCATCAGGAGGTGGATACGGAGGTGGTGAAGGTGCTGGTGGTGGTGCAGGAGGATCTCATGGATCAGGAGGATATGGTGGCGGTGGTGGTGGTGGATCCGGTGGTGGAGGAGCGTATGCGGGCAGTGAAGGTGGTGGACATGCAAGTGGATATGGTAGTGGTGAAGGGGCTGGATCCGGACATGGTGGTGGTGGTGGCTATGCTCCTTGAAATCTTGTTCTCTTCACAATTTGCAAACACTATATGATTTCCTATTCTTATCTACAATATTATTAAAAAATAACATGATCAAATTGTGATAAGAGATTTATTGCATGAAAGCAAATTAATATTGTTGCAGCTCTTAAAGCTATATGTTTTTTAAATTCTAATGTAAGAAAGATATCTAAACAATGATGTCTTGCACAATATGTTTGGTGCATTTAATATAAGAAAATGGCTTGGCAAATTCCTGCATACGTTCTCCAGACATTGCATGCATGCTTTATTAATTATCTCTATTAAGTCATCTACTATATGTCTATCACATTTATGAGTTATAAGAACTCCTCCTTAAGTAAGTTAAAAATTGTGTTTGAAATGTATAAATATATGTGTCTCGATAGAAAAGATATTTTCTTGCTGCTATGAGGTCAAAAAACCATAATACAACGGTTGTATTACAACCTATCCTTAAATCTACGAAGCACATTACGCAAAACAAAGTAAAATAATTTGCTCCACAATCTGCTAAATGTGTTGAGCAGCACAAAAGCAGAGTGCTTACTTTGTTATTCAATTTATTCTATTGAGATATCTATCATTTTTTACCAATAAATATAAGATAATTTTATCCACTAATAGTAAAATAGATAGAAAGAAATCACAACTAAGTTATTATATAAAATAATTTATTAAAATAATATATTTTTCTAAAATTTTATAAAACTAGTATAAACGTATTAACGTTTTAGGATATATTTCATTTTTTAAAAGTTAACAGTGTTAGGTTGATATACGTTACTTTAAGTAACGTTTTACTCCTAAAACGTTATTTTGAGTAACGTTTTACTTCTAAAACGTTATTATGAGTAACGTTTTACTCCTAAAACGTTATTTTGATTAACGTATATCAATCTAATGTCGTCAACTTTTAAAAAATAAAATATACCCTAAAACATTGAAATACGGTTATATTAATTTCTTAAAATTTTATAAAAACATATTATTTTGGTGTATTACTTTATACAATGATTTAGTTTAGTCAAAACCTTACTGTACAAAATTTAGTTCAGTTCATTTTTTGTTAGAAAAAATAGTTCGACAATCTAATTTCTCTATAATTAAACTAAAAGCTCAGTGAATTTCTATGTAACTAAAATACTTGCACTTGTATAATCTTCTACAAGCACAAAAACACACAAAAAAAAGTAAGAAACGCTTCCCGGAATTAAGTTGCGTCGGAGGCAAATTCAAAATTTAAAAATTTGGCTTGAATTTAGGCTTTAGCAAAGTTTCTAATGACAACTAACGGATAATGTTGCATTTGATTGGTTACTAATAGCTTGAACTATACTGAAAATATTAAATACAAATATGAGTTAGCTGAAGATCATGTAAATCACCTGCATTCCCTGAGAAAGTGTGAAAACGTTTTGTATTTTATAGACTTCTGAAATTCATCATGATGATTAGGACTTACGATAGACGCATTAGGGTGTAAACTGATGATCAAGTATCTGTGGATGCCAGCAAAAGCATACACTCTATTAGTGCAAATTAAACTACTCCCTCCGTGGCCCCGGTACTTTTTGAATTTTTAGATTCAAATAAGTCTATCTTTTAATTAAAAATTCTTTATTGTCTTTTAAATATTTTGAGTTATCAATTATTGTGACTTATAGTTTTATAAATATATAATTTTCTTTTCAATTTTTTTTTGAAGATTTCATGCCTAAATTTTTTGTCAAATTTAAACTATTTAACTCTCGAAAAACGAAAAGTCTCACCTAAATTGAAATTGAGAGAGCATCATTTTAGAGTTTGTCTTCCTTTCCCTTTGTTTCCAATACAATCATTTTGAAGTTCGGTGTGATACTTAGGTCTTTAAATGTGTTAGTGGCATAGAAGCGTTTTTCTTATCATTGGGAACATCTATAAATAGCGTTAATGAATCCATGCAATATTCATATTCAACTATCTAGCAAGTCCAATGGCGAAAAGTAGTACTACCAAGGGTGGAGCCAACCCTTCTAGTAGGAGGTCATGCGAACCCCCTTTGGAGGAAAATATTATTATTTATGCATTGTTAAAATTATTTTTTTATGTATATATAGTAGATGTTGAACCCCATTCGATTAGCTTGTGTGTTTAGTTGTTCAGATTTTGAACCGCCTTATTAAAAATTCTAGCTCCAGCACTAACCACTACATGTTTTAACATAGTTTTCTTTATTTTATTGAGTACAGTATGTGTTCAGCTGCTAGAACCCCTCATTAGTCTATGCTGGTGGAGGTGGTGGAAGTGGAGCTGTAGTTTGGTCATCATGGTGGTTATGCTGGTTAAAGTGTAATGCCAAAGGTGGTGTTGAATTTATTTGCCCTGATTTCTTACCATAAATTGATTTTCCTTTTAAAAAATGGTTTTAATATTTTGATTAGTTCTTTTCTGGTAGAAAAGGTTTTAAGAATCTATAAATATAAGTTTGTTCCTTCTAACTTCATTAACATTCACAATGTAGTTCTAAAATTTTTAGAATTGTGGTTATGGTGGAGAATTTTGTGTATCTCCTGTATTTCGAGTGAATTGGTTGAGTTTGTTTCTCTCTATATTTTGTTATAGTGGACTGCTAATCTCCTTTATGGACGTAGGTCGATTGACCGAACCACGTTAAATCTCTTTCTCTTTTATTGCTCGTTTGTATTCTTACTCATGGTCTTTCAAGATTTGTTGTGCTAGCTTCCGGTCTTTCAAGATTTGTTATACTAGTTTCCGTGTTGCACCTGCTTATTTTGATCCTAACAAATGGTATCAACGGATATGGTGCCGAAGGGGCACTAGGAGGTGGATAATCCGGTGGAGGTAGTGGAGTCAGTGATGGTGGAACACATGGTGGTGGATCTGGTGCAGGTGAAGGAGGTGACACATTTTTATTTAGAGTAATAATTTGACTTCAAAATGTTTATTTTATCTTTAATGAAATTATTTATAGTCACACAAATTTTTATCGTTATTTATTGTGGATCATAAATTTTAAAATTTTCCTTTCTTTCTTAGACTTTTAAACTACCTCACATAAACGGTACTACAGGTGAAAAGAGAAAAAAATATACTCCATTAATTAAACTTATCATAAACAAAAGAAAGAAAAGATCGAGCAGAATTTTTAACCAAACTAAGCCATTATATAAAATAATTTACCAAAGTAATACATTTTTCTAAAATTTTACAAAACTAGTATAAACGTATTTCACCGGTAACGTTTTAGGGTATATTTTTTTTAAAAAAAATAACAGCATTAGGTTGATATACGTTATTGTAAGTAGCGTTTTACTCCTAAAACATTATATTCAGTAACGTTTTACTCCTAAAACGTTACTATGAGTAACGTTTTAGGAGTAAAATGTTACTGTGAGTAACGTATATCAATCTGACGCCATCAACTTTTAAAAAATAAAATTATATCCTAAAACGTTACTGTGGAATACGTTTATACTAGTTCTGTAAAATTTTAGAAAAATATATTATTTTGGTAAATAACTTTATATAATGGCTTAATTTGGTTAAAACCTCAAAAGAGCAAGTGGAAGATTCGTCCCTTTAATTAATTTTTACTTTTTTTTAAAAAAAATCGTCTCTATAGATTATTTTGGTGCAAAAAATTACACTCTCAATTTGTTATTATCGGATTTTGTATATGACTATCGAAATAAAACAGAAGTATGCCTACCCGATCAATTTATAAAAGATTCATAAACTATTTGGGCATGCTTGGTTCTTGTTAGGCTCTTTAATTTTAAGATTGTTGATCAAATTTTATAATGTCGAATTCGAAGATATGGCTTCTCACTAAAAAAGGTGAAACAATCAAATCTAATTTGATGGATTTAAATATTCAGAAATTATGCAAATTAAATTTTCTCATATTATTTAATTGGAACATTAGTACATTTTAAATGATTGAGGGAGACATGTAAATCTTTCAACCACTTGCTACTTTTATCCTTTCAATGGGTGTTGCAAAATGCACTAATAACAAAAGGTAAGTACATCACATGAATGGGTTAGTAGAGATAATCTAATTAGTGGCAAACTGGCAATAAAAATAATTTAGCTCAAATTTCTATACAAACATTTAAAAACAAAATCAAAAATTTGTTTTATTCTAATTTGAACTTATTTTGATTGCATCTTATTAAAAAATTATTTTGTTAATCTTTGTGTCTGATCAAGCATGATCATTTCAAATTAAAAAGGACAAATTTGTATTTAGTAAAAGATTTATAACAGTTTGAATTGGATTACTAACTTCATGTGCATTGGAGTGTTGATGGCAGTGATAATCAAAGTTGTGGATGCCAGCAAAAGCACACTACTGTAGTCTACTAGCTAGTGCGATAAGTAATAGTTTCTGTTTATCCAACTTCTTTCTTTTTTTTACTGACTTAAAAAAATTAAATATAACTTTAACTTTCTACATTACATTACATGTTTAATTCAAAATTATAAAAATTCAGAAGTTAATTATTTTTAAAAATTCTATTTCAAACTAAAATAAGACGAATAAATTGAAAGAGTAAGTATATCATTTTCATCCTAGTTCTCTTTATTACACTTTTGTTGTGTATTTTTGTGGATATTGCGATAGTGGGGGAATCAAAAATTTGTTGTTGCATGTGCTTCAACCACTCTTTGCTCATTGACACGCTTTTGGACCATTACCCAACCACAACATGCTTGTTGGGGGAATGTCTATATATAGAGGTGTAATTGTTTACATGTCAAAACCAAAATTGTGGGATTCACAAAACATTCTTCAATGGCTAATCATAAGGTTTCTATTGTGTTTTTATTTATGTTAGTTAGTGTAACTATATGTTATGCTTCTTCTAGAGCTCTCCTCAATCTAGAGGGAGGTCCTGGGTACAATGTGGGTGGCAACATTGGCTATGGTGCAGGGCATGGTGGTGGTTCCGGAGGCGGTTATGGGGGAGGTGGATCTGGAGGATATGGAGGTGGTGGGGGTGGAGGTTCTGGAGGTGGTGGTGGTGGTTATGAAGGTGTAGTTAATCATGGTGGATATGGTGGTGGTGGTGGCGAAGGTGGTGGTAGTGGTGGAGGTAGTGGTGGTTATGCACCTGGAGGAGGATATGGAGGAGGTGGTGGTGGTGGACATGGTGGAGGAGCGGGTTACGGTGGTGGTGGTGATCATGATATAGGATATGGAGGTGGAGGAGGAACAGGAAGTGGTGGTGGATATGGTGGAGGTGCAGAACATGGAGGTGGATATGGTGGTGGTGGTGGAGGAGGAACAGGAAGTGGCGGTGGATATGGTGGAGGGGTAGAACATGGAGGTGCATATGGTGGTGGNGGAGGAGGAGGAACAGGAAGTGGTGGTGGATATGGTGGAGGTGTAGAACATGGAGGTGCATATGGTGGTGGAGGAGGAGGTGGTAGTGGTAGTGGTGGTGGATATGGTGGAGGTGCATATGGTGGTGGAGGTGGAGGTGGAAGTGGTAGTGGTGGTGGATATGGTGCAGGAGGGGTTCCAGGAGGTGGTTATGGAGGTGGAGAAGGGGGAGGAAGTGGTGGTGGTTATGGAGGAGCAGGGGGTTTACCTGGTAGTGGATATGGAGGGGGAGGTGGTCATGGAGGAGGTAGTGGAGGAGGCTATGGTTCAGGAGAAGCTGGTGGTGGTGGATACGGAGGCGGTGGAGGTGCAGGTGGTGGCGCAGGAGGAGCTTATGGAGGTGGACATGCTGGTGGTGGCGGTGGAGGTGGTGGAAGTGGTGGAGGAGGTGGCCACGGTGGCTACATTCCTTGAACTTTCATAACTTTGTACTATAAAAGAAAATAACAACAAATGCTCCTCCAGTTGAAGTATGGACTTAATGCATGCATGCATGCAATCCCATTAGTACTGTACTACACTACTAATGAAGTAGAGTTAATTACTATATATATGTACTTCTGTTGTTATCCTTAATGTAACTTCATATGTATTGATATTAAAAGTATATAAGAATCAATTGAAATTTTCATCATCGAAATTGTAGATTACTGATATATTGGCCACTTCAAGTCGCACTACAATAAAAATAAATTTTAACAACAATAAATATATATAACAAATTAATGCTAAAATTTTTACTAATATTAATTAATTGTTGTTAAGATCCAATATTTATACAAGTTTTAGAAGCACATATAAATAGCGTTAAAGAATGTAATATTTACCTATAATTGTATGTATAGTGACGTCTGTACATGACACCCTTAACCAATAAAATGCAAATGAAATTTTGATGATCTTACTGTTATTGGGAAAGAATTGGTCCCCTAGTAGGTGGCTTAGATGAGTGTGAGCACATATTATAAACGCAATGAGTATGGTGAAGCTATCAAACTCTCCATTCTTCTTATCATAGTCAGAAAGTGCACTAACTTTTTTCACATATAGTAAAGCTAAAGCTCCTAAAAAAAACTGATCTTCAACCTATTTTCATTAGCTATGTACATAGGAGTTAATTGATACCTTGTTTTTCTATCTGGAAAAAATACTTTGCAAGTTCATGAAACAGACGGCACTTCTTTGCAGGTTGCATCCTTAATTTGTTAGTTCATCTTTCGTTCGCTTTTAGCTATAATGTTTTAAGATATAATCTTTTATCATATTAATGTGACAAAGATTGCAACTTATAGCATTATCATATGATTTTCCAACATTTAAATTTAAATTTATAATATTAGATTAATCTAATCAATTTAGCTCAAAAATTATATAAGTCAAATCGATTATCATGAAGCAAAATATGACAAATAAAATGAATGAAGGGAGTAGTATTTAGTTAATTTTCCAGGGAATCAATCGTTTCTCAACACCATCACAGTAAATTAAAGTTGTTTAACATCTATTGGCTCTAATGCTGAAGTTCAATGTTAAGTTAACAAAGATCTATTTATAATAAAAGGATAAAGAATAAATATACCCTTGAATTATCATAAATGGTATATAAATACTCTTTGTCATACTTTAGGAATATTGGTGCCCTGCCGTCCAAAAACTAAAGCCTATGTCCCTTAAGGATAACGGAGGGTATCCGCATACTATTTACACTAGTTCGGAAGTATATTTATCCTTTTTTCCATGATAAAATCACGAAAAGAAAGAAATGAGAGAAACATAATCAAACTTATTTTAATATATATATATATAATAGCAGAAGTGCTAGTAATATTGACTCTTGAAGATGCTGCTTTCTTTAAATTTTTTTGCTGTTTACAAAGGATGGAGTAAAATAACATTATTTAATTTCTTAATAGCTTATTTATATTTTTGTAAGACAGCAAAATGGTCATTTTTTTCTGGAACTTTTCAAGTTTTGACGCAATTTGGCTTGAAAAAATTAATAATATGTCCAGAAATCATAGGTTTTGTGACCATTGATGAAGGTACAGGGGATTTGGTATTTTTCTGAGACTTTGCTTTGATCATCATATCCACTTCTCCATCTTCGTTTATTAATACCATATCATATATTGGTACTTTCTCTGCATAGTATTCAATATTCTTTTTGTCATGGTGCCTGCGATATCGATAGTGTAAAAAATATTTGTATCATCAGCATCTCACGTGTAATAGCAATATATTCCTAATATAACAAGTGGAGTCCATAACCTAAAAATAAGTTAGCTAGTTAACATACATTTTTCTTGCCTTGTTATTAAATAGAAAATGTAAAATGAAATATTTATTTTTAATATAAGAGTCAAGTTGATCTTGGGTTGACATATAGTGCGACTTGTCAGATATATTGGGTCATATGGTATTTCCCCGTTCTCTCCCCCGATCGAGATATCCCCCGTTTCGCCCAAGAGAGATCGAAGACGAAGATTTTCTGACGCAGTGCGGGCACTGGATGGAAAAGACAGATAAAGGAACAACCCACCGGAAGGGCATACCTCAAGGGGCACCAATCTCCCCCGGCAAAGATCTATCTCGAGAATCCGCGTACCGCCACGGGAGAGCATTCCTTGGATAAACTCTATACCCTTCTTTCGGATCTCGAATCGAGGGGAGTCAATTCCGAGTCCTTCTCTCAATTAAAAGGGAAGGTACCATAATGAAAGAGGGAATAATACCTGTCGAATACTACTAGAGTTGGTTGGAGGGTAGTGATTAAATCAACCACGAGAGATTTCAGTGGATGGCCCATCTCTGTTCTGATTTTTGGTTCTACCTAAATTAATTTTGATAAATTAGAAAATAATTAAGCTTGGGTTAATTTATTGAAGAAGAAATCATTTAAACAAGATTCTATATGATTATTATTTAAGAGAGTTAAAGTAAATACCCCATATTTTTCACAAAGATCAATTAGATATTGAACTTTGTGATATTTAGCATAATCAGTACTTCTCCATTGATCACTTCTCTCTCTAATCATTGTAACTTCTTGAAAATCCACGCTCCAGATGTCCGACCATGTCTTGGCGGAGACTGTAAAATTAAGAACACAAGTATATATTGATTGGTCTAGGTGATAAAATTAAATTAGTCCATGACTCGTCAATTTAATAACGTGAGGAGTATCGAAATGATTAAACATAGAAGTATATATACGAGGAATATTTAGCCAAGGCGTTATGCCAATAATGGTAACACTGCAACATGATTTCAAGGCAACATTTTTGAGTGGCCATTCAAGTGATTCAATGGAGAATTCTTTCAATGCATTCATCACTATAAGTACATGTTTGGGAACATCTTGAAAGTTGAAATCTTGTTCTGGTGTTCTCTTGAAAAAATTGTTCTCTTCTTTATCACCAGACATAATCTCAATATAGTAATATATTTGAAGTGAAATGGGGAGATATAATTATTTGTGAAGGAGAAAAGAAGGGATTTGCTTAAGGCATTTCAGACACCTATATATAGCATAAATTTTGAGGAGCTGAAAATAATTTGTTCGATATTAACCAGAAAAAGAATTTATGTAACCTAGGATGTAGAAAAACAAAATATAATGAAGCCAAACAAAGTTGCATGGTTTGTGATGATTGAAGATGCTTCAATCCAAACGTTTTCTTTAGACAATGAATAAAAGCACTGGTATTTACTATGCACTAAAATTCGGCGTATATAATAAAAAATTCATACTATAAAAGCTCTCCAAGTTCTTAGGTATATGCGAGTAATTATAATTCTCAACAATGAGAATATAATATAAAATCTTTACTCTGCACTATACAATGGAACTCTGAAATATGAACAACAAAACAGCTGAACGCCATGTTTGTTGGAGGACACAAGATGCCTAGAGCTTGGTATCAGCATTTCCATTAACAAACTACTAGTATTTTCTCATAACTTATCTCATGCTGCCAGCCATTACAGGACGCATCGTAGAGCCAATGCTAGACCTTCGGCGACTGGTGGAATTACTGTCGTCTCTAGTTGGAGATACTTCCATTCTTCTCCTCCTCTTTTTAGCAGAACCTTCACTGCGCAAGCCCTGCATAGCAGCTAGTAATTGCTGGCCTCTAGACCCAGGCATGTTTTTCTTTATCAGAAAGCACGCCTGCTTTCTTTCCATGTCCTGCTCTACATCGTCTTTCTGCAGTTGCTTTTTGCAAGAAACCTGGCCTACCATTCTTAGATGACCACGAGGAATATGGTAATCGTTATCTGCAGATGAAAACCAATGATTTAGCATCAGCTTCTCTATATTCACTATAAGCAACAAAGTTGACAATAACATAGAAAAGGAAGATACCTGGGGGATCTTCTCTGTATATCTCTGGGCTTGGAGATCTAGGCGGTGTGTCGGGTGTGATATATAAAGTTCTGCTGGTAGAACCAGGGGTCAGAGTACTGCTGTTTTCTTTGAGTACTGAAACACTAGAAACTGGTTTAGACAAATCTTTGAGTACTGAAGGTGAAGACACTTTACCCACTTCACGTGACTTGGAAACCAGAATATTGCTTGCACCTAGTGGTGGTGTAGGAGTAGACATCATCTGCACATTTTCCTTTCCATCACTATCGTGAACCTTGTTGAGAGAACTGGGAGATGACTCATTTGCAGCACCATTGGATTCTTTGACACCAAAAGCCTGGGCATTTGGCAGAAGCGGAGAAGGAACACAGACAGCATCTGTATTCTCTAAAACTGATTTGGGAGAAGTACTCAGTATGGACGGATCTATAAAAGGCTTTTGCCCTTCAATAAAATCTGAAAACCAAGCAGTGCCCCTCTTTGCATAAAATAGAACATATGCTTCCTGTGATAAAACATAATCTTCTCGAACACGAACAACCTATCAAGTTAAAACAAATATAAAATCAGTGCATCATAAATGCTAGTTTTGCCCCCTTTTTTCTTGGGGAACTGCAGAATACCGAATTAAAAAATACACAAAGACGAAATGATGTTTAATTCGGTACAAAATCCAGATGGTTACAAAGTTCGAAATCCAAAAACTATTAGGGAACCTGAAAAAACTGACTAATCCCACACCAAACCATAAAAAAGAATAAGAGAACTTTGTTTGTAGTAAATACCTTTGAGTCATCAAATTTATACCATTCATTAGGAGCAGAACGAATGAAGCTGTAATAGTGCCCAGAACAGTATGAAAATCCTATATGCACTATAACTGCATAAAGATCATACTTCATTTCTACCTGTACATGAGAAGGAAAATTCAAAATTATTACCAGTTTCAAAGATTCAGCAAATAACAAAAAAGATCTTAAATAGTAATTAAGTGAAATTCTGTATACAGTATTAAACCATGCTTAGACCCCATATCATATCTAACATAAACAAAGGAGAAAAATTTACACACATTACACATATACAAGTCGTAGAGCTACTAGCAAATTTTTTACCAAAACTACATTGTAAGAATCCCAGAACCTGCAGCTACTAGAACTTACACAGGAAAAGTAAAAACTATTACTCTTCTAAGCAATAGTAATTACTCTTCATCGTGTTCTCTACCAGAAAATTTTCACTTTATTTCATATCTTCCATCTCCTGAAACT